CAGAAGAAGCATCACCAGAACTCTCTTTTGAGTTCCATCAATATGGATTAATCGACACTATCTACACTACAACCATGAAGGTATTTGAATACTTCCCACAAAGAATGAAGAACGTAATCAGAAGATATCTCGAGCTATTTGCCAAGGAACGAGAAATATTTCTCAAGTATACAAGCAGCTACCCCGTATTCGATCAAGACAAACTATTGATCGGATCAAAGGCAGTTATCCTCATGGGAGTATCAAACCATGATTACCCTACCAGAGATGACCTACGAGACTATGAGAAGAACCCAGACTACCAAGTAAAGGGTCTTCTTGCAGTATGCAGAGCATTAACCAAAATTGAACCGGAAAGCCAAATTAAAGTCAATTACAGCAGCCCCGATGCCATCATCACCAACAAAACAAGAGGAAACATGACCAAAGAAGAATGGGCAATCATAACAGATAAAATTAAGGAATTCACGGAAATTAATGGGAATCTGTCAGCCCTTCCCATTCAAATCAAGAAACAGTTATGCAATGAGCTTACTATCTATGAAGACCATCTCTGTGAGTGGTGTGCATCAACTGACGAAGACATCAGTGGACCAGCAGACCAAGACTGACAGAAGCATGTGAAGAAAAAGGAATCAAACAAATATGGAATAAAGCGACAAAAGAAGGTTGGCCGACTCCTTCAAAAAAGTCGTGCATTATTGTATTTTATCAGCTTTTCTTATCATTTCGTGCACTTTTGACGTGTTAGCTTTACGTCCCTGTCTAACAGACGTAAGCAATGACGTCTTTGTATTTCCTCTCAGCTCTATATAAGAGCAAGAGTTTTCAATGAAATAAGGCAGAACGAGTTTGGCCATAAAATTGCCTGTTTACTCTCTCCCTCTAGCTAGCTAGTTGTAAGGCTTGGATCCACTGATCCTGGAGGCCACAATCATCTTCAATATAATCAAACGCACGGAAAGAAGCTACAATCATCAAGCGATCATCAAAAGGCTCAGAATTTCATCAGAAAAGCAAGTCAGGTATGTCTGATAATCCTACCTCAAGTCATTTTGACTATTTAAACAAAAATGATAATGAAAACTACTTCTTAGATGGTGTTATAGACATTAAGAAAATTAGAGAAAAACTAATTTTACTATTTCAGAAACTCAGAACTTTATCACTAAGTCTTTTTTATCAAAACTCTTCGATAGAGAAAACATTATTAAATATGGTAAAATGATAGGTGAAGTAGCAGTCCCTATTGATCAAACTAAGGGTGATTTCCTAATCCAAGTAATAAACAAAGAACAAATCAGAAAAAGATTAGCTAAACTAAGATCAGAAGAACGAAATAAAATAGCTTATATTCATATTAGTACAATTCAAATTATATTAAAATCAACAATGAAAATAGGAATTGATGCACCTATGGAATTAGAAATTCGTGATGATAGGCTCCTAAACGAAGAAGAAAGTATTATTGCTAAAGGAACGAGAAATTTAGGAGTAGGAATAATTAAATTTGATATTAACCTACAACAAGGATTAAGCCTGACAGATGGTAATCTTGACTATTCTATCATTATAAAGTACTAATTAAAAAGAGAAAATTTTATGAAAGAAAATAGCAAACCATTTTCAGTAACTTATCAAATAAACTATGCATTAACTAATAGTCACCACAGCTTAACCTTCAAAAATAAGGAAGTAATTACTATAGAAGATTTATTTAAACCTTTAATTCAACTAGAAGCACCATTAAAGACTGTTAGAATAGAACCTAGTCGACCATCGATAACCCAAGATCAAAGGCGATTAATTAAAACACAATCAGAGAGAATTAGGCATTATCCCAGTAATAGAACAAAATTTAGAACAAGAAGAGATAACCAATAATCAAGTGAATAAATTAATTGAAGAGATAACCAATAATCAAGTAATAAATAAGCTAGAAAAATTGCAACATTCAATAGCAAATTTAGAGAATAAAATCTATATATGCCTACTAACTATCATATAAATTAATTAATTGAAGGATTAGATGCTATGAATCTCACCTCAATAAATTATATCAGTACAGTCACACAAGAATTGACTTACTTTGCCTCAGAAATTGTAGAAGAACAAATAAGTATTGGAACCACAGAAACATTAGAAGAAACTATCTCTAAAACCGATTTAATTACTGATATAATAACTAGCTTAAACAAAATTAAACAAAGATTATTAAATCAGTAAGTCTAATAGTAAAATTATTAAATCAGTAAGTTTAGTATTAAAACATGGTATCAGAGCCCAAACCGTTCAACTACTCGAATTATTTAGTTCACAAAGACCTAGATATTAGTTCATACACTATTGGATATCAGTTAGTATATACTAACAAAAAGACCAGTTAGCAGATTAACCGGGTTGCCATAGCTGAGTACTCAAAAGACAAAAGATTACGCCTTTGAATTCTGTTTCTCTTCCCAGGTCTTCCCGTCTCCCCCCTTCTATTTTGACTACGAGAAGCCTGCTGATTTGTTCGTCGTGTCAAATATTGTTGTAAGGAGGAGGCATAAAAAAAAGTGATGACATCAATTTAAAATCGAAACCCACGTCCACTCAAGACTCAACCCGAAGAGCCGCCCGGTGCGCTCAAAACCCGAATAATACTAACCATATGATTCTGGGCCGGGCTTGAGCCTACGGACATCTTGCTCGATTGGGGCCCAATTTAAATTTCAGCGGAGCCGGTTAGGTATAGGAAACGGTTTTCCTCCCGGGTTGGATCCGGTCCTTAAGCCTCATTATTTAAGGAGGTTCTTAAACCATTTTTATTGGCTGATACTAGATTAGGTAGTTAATGAGGGGTTAGTAGTTAATAGTTAGTTGAAATAAATAAGATATTATGAAAATATAATTAATATTACTCATTAATGATTCTCTTTCTCTCTCCCCTTGATCTTCTCCATAACCCTCTCTCTCTCCACTACGATTAAAAGGAAATTCGAAATTAATTTAATTAAATATTATTATTTAATATTTAATAAATTCGAACTTAATATTTTTTTATTTTTTTAAATGAAAATTGAAAATTAAAATATATGCTCTCTCTCACTTCGTGGCAACTTGCAATACAATATTAATATTTTGCAATGACATTATCAACATTTATGAAATGAATCGTTATTATTATACCTCATCATTATTAACGACTTCAATATACTTATCAATTTCTTACAATTACATCATTAACATTTTGCAATGACATTATCAACATTTATGAAATGAATCGTTATTATTATACCTCATCATTATTAACGACTTCAATATACTTATCAATTCCTTACAATTACATTATTAACAATTTTGGATCAATTGTTAATGTTTTATAATTTCGTCATCAACGCCTATGAATGAATCATTAAAGTTATGTAACATAGTCATTAATAGTTTGAATAACAATATCATTGATCTGCAACATCTTTAGTACTAATGATTCACATTTTCACATCATGTTTATAACTATCTAGTCATGGCCTCTTCCAATGATTTCTACTGACATTATTAACGTTTTATGATCAATTAATATTGCTTTACATTATCATTCTCAATGATCATAAAGCACAATACTAATTTTCAACATCTTGGGTACTTGTGACATAGTGCACCTGTTTGATTCAGTCAAACAAACATTGTCCAGAAAAATATTAGCTCAAGCAAACCAACATTCACGCCTCAACACCAAACTCTTAATAACAACATTGATAACGATATAAAAAACCATTAATATCGAATGATCAAGTCACTGATAAGGAAATAGATTTTTGTAATAAAAAATATTATTAATATTCAGACGCAATGTTTAATGTCAAATAGCACTAAAAACGCATTAATAAGTAACATGTGTTTAATGGATAATGCATCCAAAAACTTTGATAATGATAGCAGCTAATGATTGTTCAGTACCTTATTAGATATTATTAATATCTTATTTTCAAACATTGATAATGCTTATACACGCCTATTAATAATGACACCAACTACGTTACTAACTTAGACTGAAAGATTAATAACAATAGTTATATCATTAAACGTAAATTCACTTTTGATAATGTCATAAACAAACGAATATCTAACAAGTATGCTTCTTGATAATGACATTTGACAAAGTTAAAAACATAAACGAAAAAAAATATTAATAATTCAAATCACTAAACATAAGCAATCTTACAAATGAAATAAATTTTTGCTAATGGTTGTATTGTGCTTGGAAAAAAACATTGATAATAGCACTTCAAATGATTATAAATCATTGCGAACCAAATTGATAATACGATGTAATAGTAAATAAACTTCAAGTACCAACAAATTGAAAACACAATTTCACTTTTGCTAATGTTACAAACAAAACATAACATAAAAAGTTAATAATGTTATATAAAATTATTAAAAAACATGTCGAACAACATTAATAATAACACAAACGAATACCTAACAACGAAAAATCTCAAACCCATGCAATGAAAAGCCCTAATGATGATTCAATTTATAAATATTGAAAATGTCATTACAAAATGTTAATAGTTAATACTAATAGGAAGTTGCCAAGATGTGAGTGAGGCATATATTTTAAATTTCAAATTTCCATTTTAGAAAAAGAAAATTATTAAATTCGGATTTTATTAAATATTAAATAAAATTAATTTCATATTTCTTTTTAATTATAATGTAGAGAGGGTTATGGAGAAAATTATGGGAGGAGAGAGAAAGAGAATCATTAATTAATTATATTTGCATAACCTTATTTACTCTTAACTATCTATTAACTACTAACCCCATTAACTACCTAATCCACTATCACCCAATAGGAAGACTTTAAGATTTTCCTTAAAAAATGAAGCTTAAGACTTGAACTCAAGCCTTTTCCTCCTCTCCCGGGGAAAAAGCATGTGGGCGTTGGAAGCTATAAAAACAGAAGAGATGCAGAGACCGGAAGCAGATGGGCAAGCCGCACGGAGGGCAAGATGAATTTCTTCAGTCATCGAGGGAGTAATGTTTTCCGGGTGAAGAAGGGTAAGGAGAAACCGAAGTCGCCCTTTCCTCCTCCGGAGGATCCCTTCCAGAAATTGCCCGCTGAGCTGCTTACTGCGATCTCGGCGATGTTGCCGATCCAAGAGGCTGCAAGGACCAGCGTGCTTTCCAGTCGCTGGCGGAACAAGTGGAGGGAACTCCCCAGCATTCACTTGGGCGAGAATATAACCACTCGATACAGCAAAAAAGGTTTCCCCATCTCATGTTTTGATGGCCTGGACAAATTCCTGAGCTGGATGGGCGATATCATCCGCCAGATCGAAGAGCGGAGGGAGAGTCAGAGCACCAAAGGCCAAGACTTTTGGATTGAATCGTTGGGGCTGAATTTCAGGGAAGAGCTGGAGAATGAATCCGATGATGATGAGTACAGATCCTGGATCGAATTGAACCAGGAGTTCCCTACAATCGTTGGAGGTTTTAAGGTTCTATCCTTCATGTCGTCACAGGAGCAGCAGTACTGTCGGATCGGCGATGTATTGTCCGGGAAGAGCTCATCTCCTGAGAAACTTGACGCTACAGAACTGCGACATGGAAACCCTAGAGAAACACCTCAAGAAGGTTGAAGGGTTCTTCAAGTCGTTGAAATCCCTTGTCATTCAATTTGGGGATTCAATCAATGCTGGATTCGTGACGAATCTGATCTCCGGATGTCCATCTCTCGAGACCGTCAGGTTGGAGGGCTGCTCTTTTGTTTTCCCAGAATTTGAAGATCCTGGTGATCATTTCTTCGCTGTGAGGACGAGCAACGACAATACCTGCCTCAAGAGAGTGACTTTATCACGATGCACAGGGGTGGCTGGCTTCACCTTGTTTCGTGGCGGTGAACATAGAGGAATACTTCGCTTGGAAGGGACGATGTCCGCGGCCGACTTGATTTTGACCCTCGATCCTAGTTCCTGTAAAGCGAGACAAGACGAAGCTCTGGGCCCTGTCGTTCCCCGTGTTCCGCCGCGTCGTCCCCTGCCACCTCTGGCGGTTGTTCCTCGTGTCGCCCCTCGTCGTCTTCGGGTTGCGATCCGTCGCATCCAGCTTGCTCCACCTGCGGAGGCTATCTCATGCTCCATGGAGGAGGAGGAAAAGGAGGAGGAGGAGGAAGAGGAGGAGGAAATTGCATCAGAGCAGGACCAAGTTATTCTTGACTATCATGCTCGATTGGATCGCAAATTCAATAAGAAACTGTCTTTGTGGTAATGGAGTCTGCTTGAGTTTGGGGGTTTGTGTTTTAGTAGGAAAGAAGACCTGTAATATGTGTAGCATGGTGATGGCGGATGTGATGTTCTGGTTAAAGAAGGAAGGAGGGTTTGTTTGTTTGTTAAGTGGTTCTGGAACTACTGCATGATGTAAAATGAAAGTGGTCATGGTGCTGTTTTCTGATTTTTTTGTGCATCACTCCAGTTTTGTCAGTTGCTGTGAGCGATTTCTTGTGATCCGACGAGCAAACTGCAGCACTACCATGCCTTAGTTCTTTTTTCCCCTTTGATGCATCATTCCTCTGCCTTCCTCGCCTCCTCGCTGATGCAGTCATATAGTCAGTCCTAGTCCAACAACAAGTCGTCACCGCGCTGCTTGGTTCTATGTTAAGTGCAAAGATAGGTTTTGTTACTGAAGCATCGGACTTGGGTTTCAAAGCCTTCAACGTGGGATTATGTTTGCCAACTCTCTGTATCTGTAAGCTACTACTAATCGTTGTTGTGCATCAAAAGTTATTGGACAAAAGATGGAAATGAAAAAAAAAGCTCCACCTCATGCAGTGATCTGAATACCACCGTTTTCATAATGCTTGCTTTGCTGTATATAAACGAACAGTTGAGGGGTAAAAAAAAACAGAGCAAAGGATAGGCAGGGGAAGTTAAGTAAGGATTTCTTTTCTCAGTAGATTAGGCATTTTTATGTGAAGTTTTCTATCTTGTATGTTTGTTATAAGAACTTGGATTATTTTACCGAGGCGGAAAATTAATTGAAACGGGTTGATCCAAACCTAAATTGAGACATAACCTTAATTGGCAACAGAACATAACTATATTTCGATTCGGTCCTTGCCAAATTGATTTGGTTCAGTATTTACCGAAAACTTGGGAAACATATTAACCCCGTGCTCAACGTGTATTATTTATCTACAAGAGGCTGAAACTCTATTTTATATTGCTCATGCTTTGATCGATCTCATCGTGGCTGAATCAGTCCTAGTCAATCTGGGTGGGTCATTAAGCCAATTGAAAAGGTCTTATCAATAAAATTTCCAGATCTAGACATAGGTAGCAAGCCATTTTAGAATTTCTTTTAATTACCTCTCATGAGAAAAAGATCCCACAAAAAAGGAATTGTACAGTACGAAATAACATAAAAATAGACTCAACTCATAAACATAAAAAATATAGACCGATTGTTCCAATCGATTGATTTAAGCCGGCGTAGATATCCGAAAAAGACGGGAGCCCTGTCTTCGCAAGCATGAAGAGACATATAAAAAAATCTATTGTAAAAACAAATCAAGATCTAAAAAGAAAAAGAATCTGATCCGATTTATATTTTTTTGTGGCCTTCTAGGAGCCGTATGAGATGAAAGTCTCATGTATGGTTTCGTAATAGTGATCCTACAATACCCACCCAATCCTAGGATGACAAAAGTGGTAGGGTCGAAGGCGGATACTGCATATCTGTTATCCTATCCAAACTCCAAAGTAGTTCGGGTTTTCCATATGCACACATAATAATTGGGCAGAAAATCAAAACCATGTACATACCCGTTCGGATTTTGAGTATCCATGGTTATCAATGGACAATAATTTCTTTTATATCTCCAACCATGGATATCCACCCGCATCCGACCCAATCGAGTAGGGTAAAACTCGCACCTGAAGGATTTTCAGTGGGTACAGGTAAAACCCGGACTAGAATAATGTAGGGTAATGGGAGGTGAATTATTTTCGCATTATCCAACCTGAACCCGAACGATTATACACATGCATATGTATTTTGTCTAGAAATTATTATTTTTCTTAACATATTTGATAATTTGATATTAGCAAACACATATAATATTGTAATGAAATCGTGTTGTTTTTAATTAATTTTCAACATTCTAGTGATTTATTGTAGTACTTTTCCACTTATGTAATGTGAGTATACAAGTAAATGTTAACATGTTAGTTAGAGTTATAAAAAGAAATTATTATCCATTGATAACCATGGATACCCGAAAGTTAACATTGTTGGGACCAAATTTCTCTAATAATCCGCACCTCTTACCATCTTGATAAACTAGACCGTATGAATGTACAAATTAGTAGGTAAAATTGATTTTTTATATAATTGATTGTGGATGAATGATAAAATTTTGGCAATTAACATTGAGGTTTGAGATTCAAATTTCTTTATCGACCTATTAATACAACTACCTTTTGACGGTTTCTCCAAATATAGGGAGTGACATGGAAGATCCTTCTAAGCCTCTAGCTCCTCTCCTGGATTCAACTCATTGGGGTTGGAGTACTAGTGCTACTATAATACCTTGAAGGTTACACAACAAATTAGAGCATCAAATTTGAATAAATACCTTGAAAATAAGGAAATTAGCATATTTTAGCGACAACAAAAGTCTTATGGCTACCTAATTTCACGATAATTAATTTCAGGACTTACTTGTCACGTCATGGTCGTAAATTGTAATTAGTCTAATATTTGTAATATGTCTTATGAGTTATGACTACAAAAATAAAACGCGGAGACTTAAACCATCAGTCGCAACAAAATGTCAATCGAGGACGATTAATTTCATAGCAACTCCAATAAGATTTAGAATCAAGAATACGGTCTATACGAGTTATTAATATTTGTAATCTCACGGATGATACTGTACACTGTAAAAGATAGAGGGACCAATACGCTAAATTAGTAACTATATTTATATGAAAACAAAATTTGTAAAATATTTTGTTGTTCACAACGGAGAAGAAGTGAGTTGGGTTGCCAACTAGTAAATCAGGCGGAGCATTCCAATTTCCCAACTCTCCTCCTTCCTCGTTTCTATCGACCTCCACTTCTCGTCTTCAGCTTCGTCCGCTCGCCATTATTAAACCCCGATAAGCTCCTTCCCCCCATTTTCGCTTCATAAGCTCCTTTCTCTGTTCTTTGGAACAGTAGCTCGCATTCCAGCTGAGCATCTCGACTCGTCTCCATCCCCGGGTAACTAACTATACGATCTGTGTCTCCGTCTGAACTGTTTTTTTCTTCTTAACTCCCTACCTAAACTGGGTTTTTGAAATGTGGGTTTGGGCTGTGTTCAGTTCTCCGTTAACTGTTGGAGATGGAGGCCACATTGCCTGTCTGCAAATCTGTTACCTCTGTTCCTGTAAGTTCGATGGTTTCTTTTTAATTATTTACATTGCTATCTGTTGTTTCTCTTATTAATTCCGGTGGTGGTTCTGAATTGAGCTAGCAGAACATGATCATCAAAAAAAATTTATACATGTGGACTTTATTTTATTAAGCTAACGCTCTCAACCTGCTCTCGTAAATGTTTCTTGTCGAGTGCCAAAAAAAGATGTACTTCGTTGAAGAATATTTCATTTGAATGCATAAGTTATCTCTCCTCTTTGAAATGTGAGGAGTATTCCTTGATCCGTTTTTATGGAGATAGTTGATTCGTGAATCCTAACTTCAGAAATGAAGAAACTAGCAACACCTGTTATTATTTTCTGTATGCTGCTGCAAAATTCATACTCCAGAAACAGAATTCTGAGATGGTTTGGGTGATGCCAGGGTTTATTTGCAAGATCAAATCCCGGAATAAGAAGTTCACAATGTAGCTTCTTGGTGGGAACTAAAGTTAACTTCCCTAGGCAAAGAGCTTGCGCTGCCCAGGTCGGTCATAAAGCTAAGAGGAGTGGTGGAGCTCTAGGTGCTACTTGCCGTGCTGAGAAGATCCTGATTGCAAACAGAGGAGAAATTGCTGTTCGTGTGATTCGAACTGCTCATGAATTAGGAATTCCATGTGTTGCTGTTTACTCAACCATTGACAAGGATGCCCTTCACGTGAAATTGGCTGATGAATCAGTTTGCATAGGTGAAGCACCAAGCAATCAGTCGTAAGTGTCACGATTTCCTTTGTTTTGATTCTCATTTCCACTACGGCTCTTTGTCATGTGTTAGTTGTAGTTTTTTAGCATTGATTGATAATTACAATGAAAGCAGTGCAGAACCCGCACTTAGGTTCACAGGGGCCAGTTAATCCTTTTGATTTTCGTCATCAGGTGTTTTGTTAGGTTTTAAACCCATAATCTGCTATTAATGTCAGTTGTACTCTTTGACGCATGACTTCACAGTTGTTGAAAGTTATAGTTAAAAGATCCCAAACAATGAGTTCTTCACAATTCCAGGTTGAGAAGTGACAATATCGTAAAAGATAGCCATTTCTCAGTATCAATGCCTAAACATTGAGGTGATTGAAGAAGCTGCCTCACCTGTATGTCCTGTAGAACACTTTTGATGTGGTTTGACTGCTTTATCTTCCCTTTATAATTTTTTCTCTTCTGTCATTATCTATTTTGGTCAGTCACTAGCAGTGACCTTGGATTAATTTATCACTCTCCTAACGCTTGGCAAACCCATCAACAATATATGTGTATGAAAATAGCATAATGTGTATGCAAACTTATTTTTTCAACAGGTACCTGGTGATACCAAATGTCTTGTCTGCTGCTATCAGCCGTGGATGCACCATGCTTCATCCTGGATATGGGTTCCTTGCTGAGAATGCCACATTTGTTGAAATGTGCAGAGAACATGGAATAAATTTTATTGGACCAAATGTAAGTGGATGTCCACAAACCTAGACTTGAGTGTGTTTCTATCTGTTTATTATGTACTTGACTCCTGTTGCCCTGTTGCTCATACTTCTGTTAAACTTTATTCTTAAACTTTCCTTCCTGATAATCATGCTAAAACTTTCTTTTGATGATAGAAATAGGTGATAGGGTAGATCAATTTGGTTTTCTGCTGATGGCTTCCAAAATGACATCATTGTCGACCAGATGCAAAAATTTCAACTGGCGCATATTCCAACCGTCTTATCTCTACAGCAGTGATCTTTAGAAATTGTCTTGCATATGTAGAACCATAGAGCGGTGTTATATAGCTAAAGTTGGATTTCACTTGAACTGTTTTGACATGCATGAAATGAAGCTATAAGAAAATGTTGTTCTGAAAACTTAATGCTCTTCAGAATGTACATATTTTGTGTAGTTTTGGTTTGATTCTTGACATCTTCCTGGTGGTCAGTTTTATATACTATGAAATGTTTCCTTGTGGTAGATTTTCGAATGCTTTAGCTATCACTCACTATGCCAATCCAGACTTGGTGTCTGCTTGAACGCTTCTGGAGGAGTTGCTGTATGCTAAGTTGACAGATTAACTCTCTAAGGTTCATTGAGGATAAAACTTAATACAGAAACATGTCTCTTCTTAAGCAGTTTTCTCTTGTCAGCTACCAAAAATCTCAATCATTGTGGGTGCAATTTATATCTGGTTTGTGCTCTGAAATATAATTGGGATAACCAGGTTGGAAAATTTTGGAAAATTTTGTTTATATGTCGATACATATAATGATTTAGAATCAGAAGTGGAGACAGTCATAAACACTAGTCTTTCTCAAATTGTAATTTTCCCCTTCTGCTGAATTTGGCAGCCGGATAGCATAAAAACTATGGGTGATAAATCAACGGCCAGAGACACAATGAAGAATGCAGGTGTTCCAACTGTGCCAGGAAGTGATGGGTTGTTGCAGGTAACTTCTTTGACCCATAGATCATGTTATTCAACACCAGGGAGGATAGTGCATGGTCTAATCTGTTGCGCTTCTTTAATTTTCTACAATTTCTTGCACTGCAGACTACAGAGGAAGCAATTCGGCTGGCTGGAGAGATTGGTTATCCTGTGATGATCAAGGTTATATATGTTTCCTTTCCCTAATTGATCATTTGTTCCATTATCATAATCAACGTATCCAAAACTGGTGAGAACATGCGAACTGTGGTATGGAAAAATATGGCATCTTGCCTCTTGCCTAAATATTTAGGCAATGGCCCTTATAAGGATATTGGTGATTCAGCTTCTATTTAGTGTTTGGCTTCTCATCTTTCTTTACATGCAATGTTTCTTTTGGAACAAAAAAGTTACCGGCGTTCTTCTTTTCGTCTCAAATACAATGAATCTGCTTAGATTCCCCTGTGATTTCCAGCTGCATCTGTTTGACAGCAATCATTATTTACTGATTTAAGAATCTAGGAAATATTGTGACTTTCATCCAGTTAGTAATTGGAACAGTTTGGTGGGCTTCAGAACCTATTTGTGTCTGACATTGTCATTCATCTACATCTTAGGCAACGGCAGGTGGTGGTGGGCGTGGAATGCGTCTTGCTAAAGAACCTGAAGAATTTGTGAAGTTGCTCCAGGTATTTTAAGTTTGGGAATGTCCCGTATAGACTTCACAGTTTCTTGTCCATTATACTCTATAAATCATAAACTGTAAGATGCACAAAATCTGGAAATCATATGTTTTTTTTCTCTGGATAAACTAAAAATGATTGGGACACTGGCAAGCGGCAACAGTCCCAATGATAATATGGCAAGATAAATTCTCTCCTGTACATGTCTACCCAGTAGCAACAAACAATGTTTTTGTAACATGGAACTGCTTAGATAGGGTTCCATAATCATTCTTCTTCTTCTTCTGTAAGTGAGATAGGATCCCATAAATTGTGCTAATGGTATTTGGTTCTATTTCTTTTCTCAAAAATAGCAAGCCAAGAGTGAAGCTGCTGCCGCATTTGGAAATGATGGAGTTTATTTGGAAAAATACATTCAGAATCCAAGGCACATTGAATTCCAGGTACTTATTGTGCTTTTACAGTAAATCGTTTGGTGCTGGTTTTGGATAATATCATGGGTACATCATACCTGCAAAATAGAACTTGAAGCCTTTGTTTTACTGTCTCCAGTTGTCTAGGATGGATTCTGTAAATAATATCCTTACAAAAGAGGCATGCATGTAAGAAGAGCCAATGATAAAACAATACAATGAACATTAGAATCCATTTATACACTACCCGCTTAATCACGGGTGCTGAAAAATGGTTCTGATGTTGCTTTCTAGAATGTCTTGTATCTGTTTATGAACATTAAGAATGCTAAATTTACTGATCTTCTTATCTGGTAATGGAAACATCTTCTAAGCATTTGCTCTGTATCTGCAGGTCCTTGCAGATAAGTACGGGAATGTAGTCCACTTCGGTGAGCGAGACTGTAGTATCCAGGTAAATTTTACTCTATTCTTCTTACGCAAATATTCGTTTAATAGTGTTGCAATCCTAGTCAGTTAAGTTGCTCTGATGAACTTAACCATGGCGAACTCTCGCTTCTTGTTTCACTTCAAGTACTTTGATAAGGTATTATGGGCACTGTAAAAATAATGCAGCCCTGTTGTCAATTATCTTCAACAAATTCTATTGTCCGACTAATTCGGATTATTTATTGTACAGTTGTCTGTGATTAGTAAAAGACTTGGCTTGTGTATACCTCGTCATCTAAAAAATTAGAATTTGAACTTGGAACGACACCACCTTTTCAGCTCCACTAATTTCTGTTTAGGTAGTTATTCGCTGATCATAAAATATTTAGTTAAATCTATTCGAATAACTTATTGGCAAATATAGCTTTAAACTATTCAAAAGCTTCCAGTTCTCAATGTTGATTTTTTTGTCCTTTTCTGTTGCTGGGTGATGTTCTTTGGCACCAGAAGATATTTGTGTGACACATTCGCTTGCATGTGTTTTCTCCTGCAGAGACGTAACCAGAAGCTTCTGGAAGAAGCTCCCTCTCCTGCACTGACCCCAGAGTTGAGGAAAGCCATGGGTGACGCAGCAGTTGCGGCTGCAGCATCCATAGGATACATTGGTGTAGGAACAGTTGAGTTCCTTCTGGATGAGAGGGGTTCCTTCTACTTCATGGAAATGAACACTCGTATCCAGGTCAGAATAGCTTATTAACAAGTTAAGCAGCTAAAAGCTTCTGTATCTGCTTCTATTCAGTTGAACTGGGGACTGTAGTGTGCCCAACAGAAATTATTTGGGAAAAATGCAGGTCGAGCATCCCGTAACTGAAATGATTTCATCCGTGGACTTGATTGAGGAACAAATCAGGGTAGCTATGGGAGAGAAACTTCGTTACAAACAGGTATTAGAACCGACAGTCAGTTGTCTCAAGTCCCAACAACCTATTACTGTACTATATATAGCCATATTGTGAATTTCTTGCTGCTTTTGTTCTACAGGAAGATATTGTTCTCAGAGGACATTCAATTGAGTGCCGGATTAATGCAGAGGATGCGTTTAAGGGATTCAGGCCAGGACCAGGTATCCTGAACTGTTTTTACGCTATCATGCTTCATTATTTAACTAATTATTTCTAGATTGATTAATGCTATTTACAATTTCAACTTTTGAAACTTTCACTGACAAGCATAGAGAACTGTGAATTTCTTGAAGTCATTACTTTTTGGGTGTTATCTACATTTTAGTTCGTTGTGTTAGCTGATATATTCTAGGTTGTTTCAGATCTCATCTTCTTTTAATCTCACTGGTGCAGTCTACTTCGTGATTTCTTGAAGGTGTTTAGTTGGTTGATACTGTTTAAGTTCCTTTCTTCTGTATTCCGTGTGTAATGCAGCATATACTTGTGGTTGTATTTGTGTTGGAACTGTGTTCTTCTTTCTTTTCTTCATTGCTTCGACTATCCCTTTAGAAAATTTAAAATAAAAAATGGAGAACTTTTCTGAATACCACTTGCTGTTCTCTTGCTCAACAGGAAGAATAACAGCATATTTGCCATCTGGAGGGCCTTTTGTTAGAATGGACAGTCATGTGTATCCGGACTATGTTGTTCCTCCAAGCTATGATTCCCTGCTTGGAAAGGTACGCTTTTCTTCTTCTTTGGGTTCTATTTTGCAGCTATTTATAGCAGGATCCACTGTTCTACGTGTGGTAAAATGGTCACCAGAACCCCATAGATGGGTTTGAACGTAGAGGAGCGAACCCTTTTAATATTTGTTTGCCTATCTGCTTCTAGTTCCTTTCCATTTTTTAATTTTGGAACAGTAATTTGCGTTCTCTGTATTGACAATTAACAATTTCTTGGGTATGGGGGTTGAACATTTAGGCAAACTAGTTTTATTTATCAAAAAGTGTCTCGTACACATATTTTTAAGTATGTGCTCTCAGATTTCTTGTGTCCATCTTAATATTTAGCTTTGAGTTATAAATTTGCACACTAAAAGCAATTGATTAAGCAATTCGCTCAGATAGACAGCCGGTGAAGGAAAAGGGAGTGCATATTCTAATATGAGACCTTTCCTATTACCACCTCTCAAGTTATCATGATGCTGAGTTCGCATTAATATACGAACCTCAAGTCCAATCCTCGTTGGATGCCTTTGTAGGAAAACCTTACCGTTCTATATCAATTAGCCATTTTTCATTTATACTGTGTTCCTATAATTCCAAAATGGATGTGTTTTGTGACCACGAGCCCCAAGTAGAAGTACCAAAGTGCCACAGAACTGAGTTCCCATTTCATTTTCATGGCCTGTTCTCACACATTAATTCTGTCATGACTGGCTAACTGGATAGAATTTGCTTCGAGATGGTACTAAACTGGGTTTGTTATTGCAGCTTATTGTTTGGGCTCCAACAAGAGAGAAGGCAATTGAACGTATGAAGAGGGCACTCAATGATACTATTATTACAGGTATTTAGCCAAATCCTTCCCCGAAAACAGTATGTTCTGTATTTGCTGTCCAGTATGCAAAGTATTATGGACAGAATCTTGAACTGTTTGCTTTTTATAAAGGGTGGACATTAGAAATAGCATAAGATACTTGTATTTTCAGTTTAACTTGCTTGAAGGCCGAAAATATCTAGGTTTCCTGACACTCCTAACTAGAACTAGGCTTTGAACAGGGATAACTAATTCCTTTTTTTATTCCTGGATGCAGGAGTTCCAACAACAATCGATTATCATAAATTGATCCTTGAAATCGAGGTATGCTGTAATTTCCATTTCCATTCTGGTTGAAACTTGAAATGGCTGGATTGGATTGTTGGAAATGAGAACTCATGAGCTCCCTTCACCATAACAGGACTTCAAAAACGGCAATGTTGATACCGCCTTCATTCCAAAGCATGAAGACGAGTTACAAGCGGTAAGTATCTTTTTCCAAGCCCTTAGTCTCCTGGTCTCCATGGCACTTACCCCTACGAGGAATAATTTATATGCTCTACTCTACTCTCTTTCCCCTCCTTCCAGCCACAGCAGATTGTGCCTGTGAAGGGACTGGCCAGCGCAACTGCATAGACGCGATTCTTCAAGGGTGGAAGGCAATAGCTTTCACGGACATGTTTAAGAAGAGCTTACTTTATCCCGATCTTCAAATGTGCATTGTTCTCAAAGGAACTTTGACAGATTGAACGTGCTTAGGCGACTTCCAGTTGAGGGAACTTTTTTGATGTTCGTAAGCTATTTTGTTATATGTTAAGGTGCTGAGATTTTGGTTTCGAGGTAGCTCTGAATTTGGTTCCTGCTTGTTTGTAAAACACTCTGGTCAAACTGGATGTACTTAGAAAGAAGTTAGTGGCTGCTGCCTCTGCAGGGAAATTTGAAGCTGTGAGAGCCAGGAAAGACGAGATCTTCCAAGATATAAATCATGTATTTGGGGGGATTTCCCAATCATTTATGCTTGTTGCAATAAATACACAGTTTCCTGACGGAGGAATGAATGAATAACTGCGTTGGCTTGAGATATTTTGAATTCAAGACAACAATTATTTACAGGCGGACATTGATTATAATCAAACATGCTATATATACGTAAAATCCTGCATCAGATAATTACTCTGGAACCAATCTGGACTGGTCTTCAATGTTGAATGCCTGCAGATCATCCTGCTTCCTCGCCGCCGACGAGTCGATGGTCAACGAGCGCTGATGCCGATGGAAAGCCAAGCTTATGCAGACACCGATGTTACTACAAAGATGCTACCCTGGAATCGGAACGGACTCATAAACACAGCACAATCGGCGGCAGATACACAAACATCTCCTCCGCGTTCTGAAAACCAAGCAAAGAGTATTTCACAAACTTGTTGGAGCCAAAAACGACAAGAAAGCTTATGGAGGGAAGATGATTGTTGAAAGATTACAACCGAGAGTAGTGAAATACAAACTACCCATCTTCCGCGGGGCGTTGCAGAGAACACTCTCGGATTATAAAAAGATTGCATTTTTTTTGTTAAGAAAAACAGGGATAACGCCTATACACATTATCTCTGCTGCAGAGAAAGGTGAAATTTTTAGGTTTTACAGATCTTGAGAATCGAATGTGGGGAAGATGATTGTTGAGGATTTCAATGGCGGTAAAGCGGTGAAACTCAACTGCCCATCTTCCCCTGACTTTTGGGTGTTGCAAAGAAATCTTTCGGTTTCAGAGTGCACTCAGGGCACAGCGCCGATACACACAATCTTTGCGGCAGATGATAAGAAACGATCAAAAAACGAAATCTTTTTCTAATAGAGTTAACCCAGAAGGAAAGAGGGAGACAAATTACGCCGTAGAAAAACTGCATCTTATAGAAAATTGTGGAGCGGAAACGAAGGACGATGAAGCGGAGAATGGCAGTGAGAAAGAAGCAGCAGAGAGTTAATTAAGTAGGAGAGGGATGGAGAGAAGAAAGAGGCAGCTAGGGTTTCCGCTCTGAATTACGAAAATCGCCTTATTAGGGGAAAAAAGGCTTCAGCCTTCAGCCTTTCATCTTCACCTGGGCCGTGCCGGCCCAAGCCCGTGGCCCGTGGGATTTTATTGATCCACAATTTCGAGTTAACCTGCATAAGCTGATCTGTTCCGGCCCGCTTTACGTGTCCGATCTCGTAATTTCCGTCTCGTCTTGCATGGCATCCACATCAGCAATTAATTTTTCGAAAAGAATTCTTCATTAAATTTGACAGACGAAGCTAAAACAGGTCAATTATTTTCAATACACGGACAATTTAGAAATTTCAAAATATTTCACACCCAAATAGGATTTTAAGTTTTTAGCACAAAAATTAAGCCAAACTAAAATATTAACCCTCTTATCGCCTCGATAGACAGGTTCGTTCGTTCACGAAACGAACCTCCTTACCGAAAAGGCGAAGAAAATCAAGTATTCGCAGTGGTAGAAATATAAAACAGTGTTTTTCATTTCCTTGCACATGTAAATTTCTGCTTGCTATACCAGTATGCCATTGTGTGGTTGGTTGGTACTTCATATCACACAGTAGCATTGGGCACATATTAGTAACAAAACTTCCAAGTCCCTCCTTCCCAGTTTCTCTCTAAACAAAGATACTTCCCCATCACAGAACAAGAATTCTCCTTGCAGTTAAACCAATTTCACCACGTAACGAACACCGCCTCCACCCTCTCGAGCTTCATCCCCAGTGCTATACCATACATCGGTATCATGGCACAGTTATTTACCCCGGCTCGTGGATAGATTTTAACTTTCCTCCTGTTATTTACTTAGTATGTATTGGGCAGAACCAAGATACAGAGGGGAAAAGGGTGTTCATGCTGCAGCAACCTCAGCAAGATAGACCTGAGGTGAAGAGCAAGGAGACAAGGAGCATTCATGTGGATGTTTTCTGATCTCGCCATAACCGTAACTCTTCTCTCGATAATCTTCGTTCCTTATATGCTTCTCGCGGCACTCCGGGCTGCAAAATGCCTTCTCTCCCCTGCAAAGGCAACAACAAGAAGTTGAACAGACTTCAGAGATGTTGCTTGGATGGAATGTCTACAAAAAAATATCTATGGCGGTTCAGAAAACTCAATGGTCCCCCCCAACTGAACTATTGACTTCCCAGAAGAAGAAATCTAGTCCACATACTGAAAGCAAACAAGAATTATTGCTTCACTTCATCACCATCACATACCTAACTTCCAACGAAAGAGAAAGATGCCATCTTTTCGGGAAGGAAGAATAGTATATATAATTATAATAATACAGCCAAGTGATATTCTCAACTGCTCCCTTCCATCCAAATATCTGGTTTGTTCCATCACCAGAATAAGAGAATTGGCACGATAAGCAAATAATTGAGCATGGCACAAGGCAAAAAGTAGATCTATGCTCATTCGATGGGAGCAAAATGAGCTCATTTTCAGATCTACAGGGGGGGATGAACCAAAACTACCAGCAATCATCTGGTGGAGCTCGCCTATGTTCGTCGAAGGTTTTATGATCTAATCAAGAAAACAATGTACGCTGCCCAATGTTTAACCATTGTCCGAAAGGGAAAATATGAAAAGCAGATGGAAAAAAATGAAAACAATGTACTTATCTGAAAGCTATACTGCACATGTCTCACATTCCTGATTTCCCTTCTGGTTCATTTCTATAGTGATTGTTCAAATCCCAATTGTCAAGTTTTTACTCAACTACCCAATGCGATCGCATCCAGCTTGTTTCTTGTCATCTTATGATGCAATTGTGGCATGTGCCCAATCAGCTGTACTGCACTGCTGTTATGCTCAAATATCTCAAATGACGAAGAGCACAACATACATTTCCAGAGAGACTCAGGCACTAGTAGGCCGGTAATGCAGGCAGAGAGTTGGCTATTCATATTAACTATCCAGGGAAAGAGGCCTAAATAATACTAAACTATTACCGGGAAACACTAGTTGGATAGTTTAAGAACCAATGAACATGAATTTCTCAATTCCTTACACATTATGGAAGTCTAATCTTATAGTAAAACCCATTTGGTCTTGTTAACAGATAGAATGCAAGCAGCCTAAAGGTAGATATCCAAACAAAAGCAAAGCATATAACACCAAGGTGAACTTCTGGTCAAGGCAATAAGCTAGTAACTGAAGCAATTTAAGCTTACTGATATGACTTTGCGATCTAAATCCTTTCACACCCGTGCATTCGACAAAAGTTTGCCGCTTTTCAGTTGGGAATTGAATTCTAACAAGTATGCAGGTAGCATGAACACAATCTTTCAAGATCCAAACCAGAGATGAACATCTAACCATGACCTAACTATGAACAGCCGAATCATACAACTGTAACATCCTACTACGCTCGGACATAAGCCGAATCCGGGAGCAAAACCCAGGAAGAAATGTTTCTTGATCAAACAGGATTTCCTAGTTCCTAATACCTCCCTTCAAGAGAAGAGGGTAAAGTGCTGCATGAATTGACTATGATTTTCACTAGCAATATCCATTTTCGTTTCCCTGGGTTCTAGTAAATCAGACAATGGAACCCACATCATCCACCCCAATTCATGTAAAAAGCCAATCCAATCTCAATTCAGAAACAAGTGACGCAAAATTCTACCTGTACATGAAAATGTCCAGCCCCTGGAGCAGCTTCTTGCAGAGGTTGCAAGAAGCCAAGAAATCTTGGTTGCAGAAGCCGTTCCTCCACCCTTCAGCGCCACCAAAACCGGCGGTCATCATCAGAGGGGAAGAAGACGCATAAAACATTCCACCATTAGCAGGATTCACGTCGAAGACTGTTGTCACAGCGTCGTCGCGGAGCCCCGAAACCTTGTCGCCGTAGTAAACAATCTTCTTGATCACATCATTACCAACATGAGAAACCACACAAGTATAGGCCTCATCGCTCTCATCCACCACAGGGGCGGAGGAGCGGCCGTCGCCATCGCTGCCCTCCTTTTCAAGCCGATACCGCGACAACCCAACACCCCAATTGAAATTGGCCGCCGCCGGCCTCGCCAGAGACACAATTGGGATGGGACTGGATCTCAGCGGAGCCGGGTGGGAGAATTTGGTCCAATCCCGAGAACGACGACCACTCGAATCGGTCATCGCCGCCACAATTCCCAACCCGACTCCACCGTCGATGAAGCTTCTGGGCGACTTTTTCTCCATACCCAGAACAGAAATTGACGGAGCAGAGGTCTCCAGGATTCAGCTGTAATAAAAAAAAAGGCGAAGCTGAATCGGAGAGGAGAAACTGGGGGGAGTTGGGGGTTAGGGAAGAATAGAAGAAGGAAAATTGAAGGTGGGTTTTAGAGTAGATTCAAGTTGAGACGCCATAGAAAGGAATATACAGAGATTAGAGGGAAGGAGAAGTGGGGGAGAAACGGTGGGCAGAAATGGCGGATTGGCGGGAGGTGAAGTGAAAGTGAAGGAAGAATGAAAATCAAAGAAAAGTGATTCCCGACGGAAGGAGGAGGGAAGGGGCTAATGGCTGGAGGAGAGAGAGGAGGAGTGTCTCTCCTTTTTTATCCTTTTGCTTTCTCAGAGTTCTGCTTCTTCTTCTTCGTCTTCTCTCCTTTCTTCCCCACCAGAGTCCATGTCGCTGTGGGGTTTCAGGGAGACATGAAAAGGTAGGACTGAAAAGAGGATATTAGAATATTACAGAGTTTGTGCAGCTACCTTTTTTGTGCTTTCCTGGTAATAATCGCTACAGAAAATAATTGTATTTTATTTAAACAGTGATGTATACTTGTATAGATACGGTTTTTTTTTTTTTTTGACAATAATTCAACTTTTATTCCACCAAAGAAAGAAGCTTGTAAACAAGCTATTACACTTTTAAAGGAGATCAGAAATTAGGTCAAGGATACTAATCCAGTCATCTGGCAAAGTAGATCTAGCTTTAGATCGTGCCACCCAATCAGCCCTAACATTCAAAGCCCTTGGAACCTCTACAACCGAAATTGTAGGGTTATTCTTAAGGATATCAACCATTGTCCTAATCCAGGCGGCACATCTCCAGGGCCAACGAGTCTGATTATGTTTCAAGGCCTTCACCAAAGATTGACAGTCAGATTGAACTGTACAACCCGATCCGTATTCTTGTGCTAATTTAATACCTTCCAACAGTGCCTTCGCTTCTGCTTCAATCGGGGTGGAACAAAGAAGAGACTCAGCTCTCCCATCACACACTTGTCCATGGTGGTTAACAACAACAACACCATAAGCCGCCGACTGGGAGTCGCTAAAGAACGACCCATCACAGTGAATCACCAAAGAGTGATTACTTGGCGGGGGATTCGTAGTGGGAAGGGTTCCCCTGAGCTGAGTGGGACCATCCTGAGAAAGAGGCGGGTTCCTCGGGCAAGCCATCCATTCCGTTAGCTCTCTATAGGCTTGAAGACACACATTTGGGGGCCAGGGGACTCTATTCTTGAAAGTACTCTCGTTTCTTGCCTTCCAAATGTTCCAACAAAGATAGATAATATGACTCAGGGAGTTATTAGGGATGGTATCTTTGAGAGAGCAAAACCAGTCAAAAAAGGAGGTATTCTGAGGGGGGACCGGGATGGACGGGAAAATGGAGTTCCATGATTCTCTAGCATGTGGGCAGTAGAAGAGGCAGTGGTTAAGGGATTCCACCGGGTCTTGACAGACCTGGCACATTTGGTTTGGAGCACATTTCCGTTGGAAAAGCCTAGCTTTCGTTGCCAGCCCATTTCTTGAACATCTCCAAATGAAGAACTTAAGCTTAGGTGGGATATTCAGTCCCAAAATCCATTTCCATCTCTCTTCACTTCCCGTCGGCTGGAAATTGGTGTTGGCTTTATGTACAGCGTGGTATGCCGTTTTGACCGAGAAATCCCCTTCTCTAGTGAGGCTCCAAGCCCAAAAATCCTCAGATCCTTCTTCCCCAATGGGAATTTTAAGGATAGCCTCCATTTCCGCTCTTGACACATGACCTTGGATCAAATCCGTGTTCCATCTTCTATTATCTGGGTCAATCCAGTCCTTCACCTTCAGGTTCTGTTGTGGGCCACTCCTAATGACAAAATTCTGCAGGCTAGGAATCCATGGATCATGACCGACCCGTGTATCCTCTCCCGCTCCGATGATTTTAACTGCTCCCATGCTGATCACTTTTTTCGCCTCCCAAAGACTCGCCCAGATCCAAGAAGGTCTACTCCCTTTTTTGGAATGATGGAAATCCCCTCTCGGGAAGTACAAACCTTTTAGAAGACGACACCACAGGGCATCGGGAGACCTAAGTATTCTCCATGCCTGTTTCGCCAACAGGGCCATGTTGAAATCCCTGAAACTTCGGAATCCCAGCCCTCCTTCCGATTTCGGAGCGCATAGAATTTCCTTCCTACACCAGTGCATGGTACTTTTTTGCATTGAACCTGACCAGAAGAAGTTGGTGAGGAGGGAGTCCATCTTCTTGGTGAGGTTCACCGGAAGGTGGAAGAGGTACATGATGTAGGAGGGAATAGCTTGTATAACTGCTTTGAGTAAGACCTCTTTCCCTCCGTGAGAGAGGAGAAGACTTTTCCATGCTTCCCCCATCTTCTCCATTCTCTGTATGAGGAATTGAAAGGTTTCCTTTTTTGAATTCCCCCACTCTGTCGGGACTCCTAAGTACTTTGAGTGACAGTTAGAGGTTGCAAAACCGATGTGGGCTATGATCGCATCTTTCTCACCGTCTGTAACATTTGCACTGAAAAACACCGAGGATTTGTTGATATTCACTTCTTGTCCCGTGATGGCTCCATACTCCCTGATGAGGTCAAGGATTCTCTCTGCCTCTTGATGGTTAGCCTTACCAAAGATGACCGTATCATCTGCAAAAAGACAGTGTGTGAGGATCGGGCATCTCGCGTTTAGTCTAATTCCTTCTAACTGTCTCTGGGCTACCGCTTTGTCAATCAGAAAGGTGAGAGCATTGGACATCAAGATGAAAAGGAAGGGTGAAAGTGGGTCTCCCTGTCTAATTCCCCTTGACGGCTTGAAATCTTCTGTCGCTTCCCCATTGAAAAGGATGGAGAAGTTGACCGTCCGGATGCAAGAGCTGACCCATTTGCACCATCTCTCATCAAAGCCATACTTCTTTAGCAACGTCTCTAAGCACTCCCAGTCCACCATATCATACGCCTTTTCATGTCCAGCTTGAGCATCATGTCTCTTCTCCTTCCCCTCTTATGGTTTTTGAAATGGTGGAGGGCCTCATGAACAATAATGATATTGTCTTGGATGAGTCTTCCTCCCGTAAAAGCTGTCTGAAGCTCCGATATCAGATCAGGAGTCCAAACTTTCAGACGAGTTGCCATAATTTTCGATATAATTTTATATCTAAAATTACAGCAACTAATGGGCCGGAATTGGCTTATCAGCTCTGGATGATCAACTTTAGGAATCATGACAATGTGGGTATCGTTCCATCCATTCGGTTTGAGAGAAGGAATTGAACAATAAAATTGTTTCTAAATTCCGTCGATAAATTATATATAGTTTGAATGAAGAAATTTTTTAGAATTTAGCGGTGACATTGTAATATACATGCAATTAAGGAAAATGATGTAAAACTACTTTACATTGTTTGGTTTTGGTAAAGGAAAGATCACTTGAGAAAGATTATTTTTGCCCTTGCTTTTATGATAACATATATATATGGTGGCGTATTCGGTGCATCCACTTTTTTGGGTGCATTCAGTGCACTCACTTCATAACCGTCATTTTAAACATGCGATTTATGTCAAAATGATGTCATTCATCACTTATGATGTGATGAACAATAACGCACATCAATTTGCACAAAAACCATTGAAGATTTACTTTAATTTGAAGGATTTAGAATTTAGAGATTTAGGGTTAGGGTTAGGGTTTACAATTTGGGGTTTAGGGATAGAACTCAAAATTGGAGGTCTAGAGCTTAGGGTAATCCACTAATTAGTTGTTATCATATGTTATATCATCATATTACACTAATTCTACAAATTAAAATTCAAAATCCGACACCTTAAGACTACCAATTTCCAGTCTCCCTTCTACGATCCCTCATTCGCCTTGGAGGGTCCCCTCTAACTCTAAGTTCGAAGTTCGATCATAAGCTGCCTATCAAATCTGAAATCTCCAACAAAATCATCGTTTCGAAACCCAAATCCTTTTATTATTTGATCCACATTCGATTTAGCTCCCTATCCAATCTCAAATCCCCAACATCATCATGTTTCATACGCCAAATCTATGTATCCACATTCGAAGAGAAGATCCCCATCCAATATGAAATCCTCACATAATCATCGTTTAGAACCCCAAATCCTTTTATCCACAAATCGACGTTTTGTTCATCGCCATTTTATTTCCGTGCGGAATTTACTCGCCTTACTCTTTCTAACACGATTTACGGCGACCATGTCTATTATTGTGTTCATCAAACTTTTCGTTTGCAAAAGAACCCTTGAAAGAGATTTGCTAACCCTAGGGTTCATGTCGCTAGTGCTTTGTCATCTTGTCTTAGCGTTATTGTCATTTTCTCGAAACTTCTATCACTCGGTGAAATTAAGGTTTCCTGATATGCAGTGTTCGTCTCGCCCAGAGGATTGAGGAAGGAGATGAAGAAGACCTAATTTGATTCGAATCAGATGGAGAGGTCTCCTTAATTTGTGTTTATGTATTAACGCTGCGTTTAGGACTAATTCTAGTTGGACTGGGTCTGATCATTGATTTTTGCAGACTTTTAAATAACATTCAAACGTGGGCTTGTACATGGACCCATGACACCTAGTTTGTTGATAATAGATACTGAGTTCCGGATTGTCATTAGGTTGGGCCTTTGATAATTGTCTATCTCAGACTCTCAATGGCGATTCTTTGTTTTACTTATTTTCATCTGCTTCTGCTTCTAAAATCCTGATCATTCATTGAGTTCACGCAATTTAAACATAATTCTGTGTTCCATCTTTTTTGGAATTTGGTAAATGCTAGCGTGTCTCTTTACACATTTAGCGGTACGAGGTAAACTACAATCCGCCCAATTTAACTCTTCATTAATTGAGATCCCATTCCACTCTCTCACCGATTTCCCCTCTTTATGCAATGCACTCGTACATAACAAACCTCTTGTAGACTAATTAGAGGCTTGTGGTTGGATACTGAGTGAGGATATTTTTTGAATTTATGTTTTGAAACGAAAGTTAGAGTTTCACTTTTGAAGTACCTATGTACTTTAGTTGGGCAAGTATTTTCAAAATGTAAAATTTTATCAGCGTATAGGTATACGATTGTTGTATAAGGTGTTGATGTTAGAGGAAATGGGTACTGACTGCTTAGGGTATTAGGTTGTTGATGGTATAGAGTATATGTTATATGGGTAGGTTATAAGGTGTTGATGGTTTAGAGCATATGGTATCGATTGGTTAAAGGGTGAGGGTAGGTGTTGTCTTATTTTTTCTCGATTATATATTTTCTTTATATTTGCTTATAAATGCTGATCATGCCTTATTACTAAGACATAATTCGTTATATCTGCTTATAAATGCTTTATATCTACTTATAAATGCTGATAATTTATTGTTTGATTTGAACCTGCGTGTTTTTGCTCCGAATGATTTTGTAGTGGCGTGGTAAAGACAATCCGTCCAATTTAACTCTTCATTAATTCCCCCTTTTCTTTTCTGTTTTGGTAGAA